TAGTCTCAGGGATCAAAGAGACTGGTGTTAAAACTATTAATCCCAGAATGCTTTGGATTAAAGCTACAAAATAACTTTTACAAAAAATATGGTTTATGCAAATTTGCTCAAACCGTCACTGTGAAGTCTGAGCAGCACGTACATGAGAGTAATTGACAGCGCTAAGATCTTCCTCGTATTTCTGGTTGGTTGTTTCTGACAGAGTATTTCTGTAGATGACAGCAGAACCACAGGACAAGGCAAAGGAGCTTGATTTTTTTTTTTTTCGTTCTACAGATTATTGGCCCCTAATATTATAATGTAACAACAATGATAGTTTTAACAAATATGTAAAAGCATTTGTGTTTTAGAGAAGCTACATTCTGCAGCTTTAACTCACTTTCAGTTCTACGAGGAAAAGGAGGAGTTTCTCTGCATGAATATGTGGCATCACATTTTAACAAGAACTTTATCATCTTATCCATCCTGTTCCTTCCTCCACTTCACTGGCAAAAGAAGGACTGCTTAATACCAGAAGCCCTGGATCCAAGTGTATGGTCGAGCATCTGGGTATTCACCGACTGAATCACCCTTTTCCCTGGCTCATTTAAAATTCTGCAGAAGAAATCTGAATTATAGATACACCAAAAAGACACACTGTCCTGAGAGAGAAGAGCTGCAGCTTTACACACTTTACACGTGGGCAACCTGCTTAAAGTATTCAGAAAAATATGACATTTCAAAAAGTGGGAAAAAAAATTATTGTTAAGGCTTGAATATAAAGGGACATCATTGCAGCGTTTAAGAAATGTAAAATAAAATAAACCCCGTCACACTTACAAATGTGTTTAAAATTGCTGGATTGCATACATTATTTTATGTAACCAAATGCATAAAATGTTTAAATGGCACACAAACAGACTTTCAATTGCATTTTTTTGGTTCTAGAGAGGTAAGCAAACTAGCAACAGGTCCATGCACTGAAAAACGCACAAGAAAGGAGGGGTGGGGGGGGGAAGCACCAAAGCCAGACACACACCTCAGAGCTTAAACATTTAGAAACACTGTCATCGAAGCTCCACATTCCTGTCATCACATCAAGCTTGTTGACAATTTTACTTCTTTTTTTTTTCTTTCTTCAATTTACTTGAACATTTTTCTATTCAAACCAAATGATAAATTTTACTTGAGAGCAGTTGATCTCACCTTCAGTTCACGTTCATTGGGTGTTGTTTGTAAGGTCAACATGTCAGATTAATGAACAGTTTTGAAGTTCAATAATTCGATGGAGTAATTGAGGAGGTCGTCTTTAAGCTGAACCACTCAATAATTTTATTTATAAATAATTTTATAAGTAGATATATTTCTATATTCACAAAAATTCAAAATCCTTAATGGTGATTTTCACTGTGTTGAAAGTGAAAATTAAGTCCTTTTGATGTAGCAACAAGTTTCAAAGAACAATAATATACAGACACGAATTACATACCAATGTTGTACAAAAAAAACTGAGTATGGTAAAAAAAAAAATAAAAAAAAAAGAGCAGCAATTAATCCTAACATCAAAAAGTCTCAGAGAAAGTGGTGTATACAGCAAAAAAAAAGTAAAACTGTAACAAGGGTAAAAATCTACATCTATGCTCCTTTGAAGGCATTTCTGATATAGTGATTTCTTTTAGATACTCTTTGAGATGCATTTATATAACTGTTAATATGGCAGTTTAAACATGTTTTTTACCTGAGAGAACACAATTTAAAAGTAAAAATTCAATACAATCTCATTACATTAGTCAGTGCATATATAAACATAGATATGCTTGTATACCTAAACTATTTCATAGCTCATGCATCAATTATATTAGCGATTTACAACCTTTTTCTGAGAGTCCTGTTCTTGTCCAGATGATACCCAGTGCTAGCAGATCTTTTCTAATCTAATGTAAAAAGCTCTATGTTTGACATTTTCTCTGATTGCGTTGTTCCAGCACACAAACTGATTTGTCTACTGGCTACAATAATTGTAGTGAGTCATTGTGTTCGCAGTGAATCGGATTTGCACTTGAAACATTTTACAGATGATATAAAGTTGATTATTATTATTTTTTTATTCTTTGGACTTGCCTGATGAGATCTCTACTAAAAATAACGACATGTAAACAGAATCTGGCGCCATCTATGGGTGACATCGGAGTGAATGCCGTGCTGTGCGATTGCACGACATTCTTTTTCTGACGAGAGAGAAACGGAGGGTGCCGATATTTACCTTCCCCATCCCGCTTAAGCGGATTATGTGACCTCATACATTTGTCACGTAACAACACACAGGAAGAAAGCACAAATTTTTTTACCAAAACCTGACCACACTTCGATCAGAACACCTTCACCCTGTTAACTTTTAGCTTTCAAATGCAAAAACTAAATGCACAGCACGAGAAAATTCTGGATCAACTGGTGGGTTCTTGATGCAGTCTTGGTGGCACCATCTGTTCCAGATGTAACATGCGATCTTGAAATTGTAGAGGTTAAATGGTTAAACTACTAAATTTGGAGAAAATGTTCTCATTGTTTTATAGTTGCTGTCTTTTCTGCTTAAAGATGTCATATGTATATTCTAAAATGTATATGAAGCATTTTTATTTGCTTCAACGTAAACTCCACTGCTGGTCTGGACCAATAGTGGTTTGTCTCAGTATTGATTAAATTTAACTGAGTCTTGGTGGTGGGCTGCGATTGTACAAAATTCCTGGTGTGGATTATTGCCCCAGTCCGTGCCTGCTTATACCTGATTATGTGTGATTTGTGTCTTTTTATTATAGGCAGCGTGGTCCCTGGATTCTTAGAAGGCCTCTGGAGAAATAAAGCATGAAAAGTCCAGTAGAGGCTGAAACAGCTCCGTCAACACAGCGCTCGGAAGAGTGTTCACAAAAAGTTCAGCTTATCCGAGTTGTAGACATCACAGGTCGGCGCATCTGAACTGAGAGGGGGAGCTGAGGGAAAAGCCAATCCTTTTAGCTCAAATCTCGGCTCGGCATCAGGGGAGAACGCGTCTGAGCTGAACGTGGGAGCTGCTGCAGATCCCTGAGACGCTGGAGGTCCAAACTGAAAACAGCAGTTTCATAGAAAAGATAAAGCAGGAAAACAATTAAATGTGAAATGCCAAAAATGTTATTTGCAACTGTGTTTATGTACCTCAGAAAGGGGAGGGTATAGGCTAGGTTCAGGCTGTGGTGGGTTTACACTGGCTGGTTGTAGAGGATAGGCACTGGCAGGCTGTGGGGGGTACACAGCGGCGTTAGGCTGCAAAGGCTGTAGAACAAAAACACAAATAGTGAGTCACTACTGCAAATATAGGGAAAATATGCAAAGATAAATAAATACAATAAATATTTATAAACAGCAAGAGGGATTATTGTCCATTTTCAATTAATTTAATTAATCAGAGCAATGGTAATAATGTAGAACTACTGAAAATGGCACCTATTTTTTAGATGTTAATGAAAAAGAAGACAACATAACCATTCTTAGAACAGAACAGAATAGAATAGAATAGAATAGAATAGAATAGAATAGAATAGAATAGAATAGAATAGAATAGAATGATCTTTTATTGTTCCAAAATGGGGAAGTGCAATGCTTGCAACAAGTATATCATGATATTGGAGAATTTGAGTCACTTTGATATTTCAGAATTTTACGTGATGCTGCTGTAATTTATTAGCAATAATCTACAGTTACTTAACTTCTACCATGTTTTACCTTAGCTCCTCTCTATAAGCTCACATCAAGATAGCCCATTCTCTTTAAAGGAACTCAGCAGTGGTTTTCTGAAAAGTTGCTGGATTGTTGGTGGTTGCTCATTTAAAAAAAAAATCGTGTTTCATCTACAACTAAAGGTTGCTTTAAGTTTACAAACTGCAGCAGAAACGGACATCATTCGTTTAATTAGGGGTTTTAAACTTGGAAGATCATCAGAAGCCCTTCAGTATCAAACCTACCGGTTGTTCAATGGAAACAACAGCTTGTGTGTAGGCTGGAGGGTTTGCTGGATAAGGAGTGTAACCTGAAGATGTTTGAATCGGGTAACTTGGTCCTGCTGGCCGACTTGTACCCTGCATTTGAACGCAGAATATTAAAATAAATCTAAGCATTTTATGTAAATTTACTGCTCCTGCAGTGATTTCTATTTGTATTACAAACTTCTCCTTTATAGTGAATGGAAGTGGGTGTTCGACTTTATGCCTTTATGCACTTATGCTATTGATAAAAAAATATCTTAAAATAAAGCTATTTAAGGGGAAAAAAAGAAATGCTTACATGATAATACACTGCAGGTGGTGGGGCGGCTGAATCAGACTTGTCCTTTTTAGGGAAATTTTTATAAGAGTTGTAATCATGAAGTAAAACACCTGATTTTAGAGTCAATTTAGATAAGTAAATAAATAAATACATACATGAAAAGTAACAGCAGATCCTTCTGTAGCTGCAGATTTGTTCTTCTTACAGCAACATTTCCTTCTGCAACAGAAACAGCAACACAGCCCCAAAACGACAGCAACAACAGCAACAACAACATATGTGACCAGGTGATGCGAGACTGTGGGAACACAGAGATATGAGAGCAGACATTAGTTTGAATGATCACTGATTTTCTTTTTTCAACATGAAAAATGTAAATGTGTTGTGCCTCACCATGGCCGTCGACATTCACATGGGCAGATAACGCCAGGTTGCCTTGTGGGTCTCTGAACTCAAAAATACCAGAATCCATAGCTTCTACATGTCTTATTTTAATGCCATCACTTTGAATACTAATTCTCCCAGAGAACCTGTTGCCATTGTTGACCAAATCGCCATTTTCTATTATTGTTACTTGTCCACTTGTTTCTAAATCTTTTTTAAACGTCACGGTCCACGGTCCTCCACTCCATGGGTTCATAATAATAAGATTCTCGCTCACTTCTGCATCATAGGAACGAGTGTTCTCTGTTTGACAGATTAGAGTGCAAGTAAGATGGAAAAATGTTTCAGGATTCACCAACAAAGATTCTAGTTTTACCTTTCACAGTGAGAAATACCCTTCGACGAAGAGTGCCTTCTTTGCCTCTGAAGTTATAGTAACCGTTGTCTGCCTGAGTGACACCAGAGATTGTCCAGAAGTTGCCCTTGAGGTCTCCTCTTGTTGGCTTACTCAGAGGGTTGTTTAAATTCCACAGGATTACTGTCTCCTCTTCTTTGTGAGGTGAAGTGTATTCCACATAGTGAGTCGCGGTAGGTACCCGATAAGACCATTCATGCATGTATTCCTTGATGATCTTTTCAGCACAATCTAAAAATAAAAATTAATGAGTTCAACCGAACATACAATACAAAACATTGCTAGAATGCTGCAAGCTTTTAAAAGGTGACTCTGTTTGGAAAATCTCAATCAGTGAATTGAATTTAAATGATCTTGTTAAAAAAAAACAAAAAAACATTTAGTGACAGATGATGGTTTCAAACTCGGGTTACAGAAGGACCACCGAAACCGCTAATGTTTGAAGCAAAGAATAAATAACTGGCACACAACTGTGTGCAAAAACTAGTCAGACATGATGATCATCAAAAAAAAAGGACTAATTCAATGCAAAACTACAAATGGATTCGAGTAAATGTCCATTTCCGGTTAAAACCCAACAGTAACATGCCTCACAACTGACTCACTAATAAACAGACAACAATGTACAAGCACCTTCACATCTAAAATGATATTCTGTCCTAAATAATCAGATCTCAAGACCGGATAGTTTTTGACTGGTTAGGCATGTTCTACAGTAGGGACAGCTATTAAGAGGTGGGAAACTACAAATGAAATTCCACCAGCACTCTTGTAATATACAGATTTCTATAATCCAGTCGGTATATATTAGGCATCTCTGAGTTACTTTTTAAACTACCGCTGTTCAATAAGCCCAATTATGTATATATGATGCATTTAAGACTCACCAAGGCCATTCAGCCATTCAAAATGTAGTGACTAGCATGTTAAAATTTTTAAGAAAAAAAAAAACAGGTTCTTGCATGGCTTAAAACAATACAGCTTCAAACACAGATAAAAGTGTAAGTACCTAACTTGCCAACTGTCACCTCAGATTTATGTTTTATTGCAAGTGAAATGTAATCCTAAACAGGAGAATAACAGGATGAGGTTTTTGTGGTGGCAATTTCTATTGACTGTTGATAAATGTAATTGAAAAATAAATTAATGAGCCCTGCCGCAAAATGATCTGAGAGGTTAAACTACATCAAATAAAACTTTGAGATTCCAAAAAGTCCATTAAGTCTAATATACTGAACTAACGGGATCAGGTTACCACCAGTGTAGAGCTTGCAAAAGAATAGCAGACACCAGGTAATTCCTCATATACAGAGAGGCAGAAAGTCTTTGAAATGATTCTTGGTGATCAAAGCAACTAACCAGCTTTTGTTTTTATCTATTTTATACAAAAGAACACAGCAGAATAATAAAATCACATGTTGAGTCATCATTTGGCAATGCAAAGAGAAGTATGAGGTTCTCACCTTTTATTTTCAATTGCAACTCATCAATAATTGAACTGCCATATGTCACTGCATAAATTCCTTCATCCTTTTTGGTTAAATTTGTAAGCCTGGTGTTATACCTGTCAACTTTCAGTCGTGGCTCCTGTGCCTGAAAGACAGAAAACACAAACAGGTTTATTTGGGAGAGAGAACACAAACAGCTACACAGACATTCAAAGTATTCATAGCCCCTAAATCTTTCCCATCTTGTCACGCTACAACCAGAATTTTTCCCATTTGGCCTCATTCCTTCATTGTAAGGATAAATAGCACAGGCTCAGTCAGTCTACACAATCGAGCAGCAATGGTTTTGATCTTTTAATACACCTAATGACAATGTGAGTGTCAAGTTCATTTGACAACCTCACCATTTGCATGCACAATTACTCCCAGTCTACACCAGAACAGCAACAGGCAGTTCACCTTCCCATTTTCCATCAGTGTTTTCCTCTTGCCTCCATTTCTTGGAGTAAAATACAGCCCTTGTTGAATATTTGGTTGAAGGTGCATGGGAAATTTAAGGTCATTGCCATAACAAACGTCGTTCTCATTTAATGTAGCGGAGGGACCTGATGAAGGAACAAAAGTGTACAGAAAGAGGAAATTCTGAGTCTCGTGGTAAAAACTAAGTAAGGTTGATTAACCAAAAAATAAAAAATAAAAACAAAGACCATTATTTCAAGAATGTTTGATACATTTTCCGGAAGATGTTGTAAACTAAAAGACATTAAGTATTTTTATTTATTTATTTATTTATTTATTTATTTATTTATTTATTTATTTATTTGTCATAACAATGGTTATATACAACTTTCCTGACACACCCACTAAGGACACTGCAGTAAAATACATTTTTGCTGAGTCAGTGAATTTTTTTTTAATCTCAAAATATTCTTAAAAATTATCTTAAAAATGAAACTTCATAAATAGTTCAACTCTTTACTAAGAGTTTACTACTTATAAATTCCCCTATTGCAGTCGAGTATGATGTTATTTTGATTATTATTTATTTATTTTTTTTTTTTTTTGCAAAAGTACTAATGAGAAGTATGCTTAAAGCTTTTGAAAAAAGCCAATTTAAACACTGTTCAATATGTTCACAAAAATGTGAAGCACACACAGTTTATCCGAAATGTATCGTTTTTGTGTAACTTGGAAGTTCCATCAATAATTGTCTTATTTTCTACCACTAGATGGCGCACAGGCAGGTTACAAACAGGACACAGTGTCCTGATCTAAATACATTTTTAAAACTTTAAATGGATGATTGTCAGAATTATTATTAACTGTTCAAAGTCCTTTGAATAAATAACTCTTGGACGGTGAATTAAGTTTATCTTAAATAAAACTATATAACAATGTAATGTAGCTTGATTAGTAAGGTTTTCCTCACCCCAGAGCGCACAGAAGACTGTAACCAACAGTATCAACATCTCCTGAAGAGAAAGACGGAAAAACGAGATTTAGAGTGCACTGCGTTTCTAGTTTATTTACATTCCCCAAAGCAAGTTTTGTAACACAATAAATAAGTCTTAACAACCATTTTGTGTTGTCTTCGGTGGCCAGATCTTCTCCAAAAAGGAGTCCAAAACACCGGGAGAGACAGACGAACGAAAACATCGAAGAACATCTCACTCTAACATATATCCATCCGCCAAAACTCATCCCGAAAGAGGTTGAGAGCGCTGAAAACAAAGCAAACAAAAAAACAGTTCTGACTTTAATCTCAGAGTTCTGAGATTAAAGTCAGAATTCTGATATTAATGTCAGAATTCTAAGATTAATGTCAGAACTGCTTTTTTTGTTTGTTTGTTGTTTTTTTCCCCCAGCAGCCCTCATCCTCTTCCATATTACGTAGATGCGACCACGTCCTGCGGAAGCATTTCGCTTACTTTCATCAACCTGGCTGAAGTTGAAAGAGGGCAAAGTAAAGTTAATGAACAAATGAACAAAAAAATAGTGCAAACTAAAATTATTCCAAATTTATAATCATCAGTGGGTTATTATCTGTGAAACTCTTGACAGTAATTTTCAATAAAGAATGTGGGACAATAATTATGACAGAAGAACTCGGCTAGTGTTCACCATCACAGAATCAGATGCCTGTCTTGAAATATAAAAAATATGGGTAACATTTTATTTGAAGGGGTGCACGATTTTGTAAATTATGATAATTTAATGCAAAGTTGGCATTTTTAATGGACTTTCAAAGCAACTTTTAGAGCAACTTCGCATTAAAAGTGTCATTATTTACCAAATGACACTTCAAGACAACAGTCATACACATTCATAAAGACTTCTTTATGGTCATGACAGGTGTTACGTCATGTTTATGACAGTGCCATGTCAGTCTTATGCACACCCCTTCAAATAAAATGTTACCAAAATATGTAGGTATGCCTCGTGATTGTGTAATTTTCTGAAAATTAAAAGTTGCATTAATCGATTTTTTTTGTAGTTTAGATTAGATTTATATATTATTGGCTTTTATCGGATTTATTTATATATATTTGTTGACTGTCTACTTTTGCTAAATTTATACATGTTGATTATCCAATACAGATTAAACAGACATAGGTGTTTTTTTTTGTTTTGTAAATTATTTTAAATATTCTCTTGCAGGTGATTCATTTTTGCACTTTGTCTTTTCTAGGCTTTTAATGTTATCGTACATGAATCTTCATTTGTATCTAGTTTTAATACGAGTTTTCTGTATAATACTTGGCATCGTTTGGGAAAATTGTCAATGTTCATCAGTGTTCTCAGTGCATACACTTTTTACGCTGGCGGTGACTCATGAAACGGGATCACGTGGTGCTTTTGTGTGGCAGGGCTGCTGAGAATCACACTGAACGGCGGTGTCGATCGCCATCAGGGGAGGGTGGTGAGTGCGCATGCGCTTTCTGCAGACGAGGCTATATCATCCTGTTATCCTCATCCATATTAACGCTGGAATATTTCTGCGTAGGTGTTTACATCCAGGCTGCAGGTGAGGAGGCTCTGAGACAGAGAGATCATTTGTTGACCGTCAGTAATCGGTGTGTTGCTTCGCCGTGAGTGATGTTTGAATGACGGGGGAGGGAACATGTTTGACACCTGAGTGCCCGTGTCTCCTAACAGATGATGGAACCTGATGAGTGACAGAGCATGCAGATGCTCTGTGAATTTTTTTCGTTTGTTTGTTTAACGGGGTAGATTGTCTGCGCAGAGAAAACCACAGAGCTTGTTAGTCAGCTCCCTCCTCAGGCAGCTTGTTGATTGATGAAGGCATGCGGTGTTCAGACTGGTCGCTTGTTGTCAGAGCGGAGAGTGCATGGGCATGAATGACAATTACGTTTACCAACGGAACAACCTGCCTTTTGCTGTGTTTTACAGGACAAAATGCACTCTTACGTCTTCTCGATCCTGCTATTTGCCCTTCCCCTTTCTTCAGGTAACATTGCGTTTTCGTTGTGGTTATACTCATTTGAAGACCAGTTTTCATTTGTGACCTTTTAAAATAAAATAAAGAATGTTGCCCATTTACTACATCAGTGTAAGTTGTTTTTTAATTTTACCAATTAAAAAAATTTTTTTTATTGAAATGCAGGGCTGGCTCAAGGTGAATGGGGCCCAAATCAGAACCTGATTTAAAGCCACCACAAATCTACCATGTGTAAATGAAAAGAATAGATATTTTATTGTTACACAGTGAATTTTTGCTCAGTGGGTGAACAAATGACAAACAAAACAAAAAAATGATCACGACGGTCTCCTCAATACACTTAACCACAGACAATGTAGAAACAGCATCAACAACAATATCCTCTGCAGCCAGGCCTTCCCTCCATACTACCTAATTATGTTACAATATTGTCAGGATGAGTCTGAAATGTGTCCTGTATCATAACACTATTGTTGACAAACATCAATACACAAACACAAATAAGCAGAATAAAAAAAAAGTACACATTGTATAAGTAAGATAATCAGATGACCAGAACCCTTAATGATTAATATTACATGCTTATTTTCAGGATTGACTGATTTACAAAAGCATTTTGCAACTTAACTATATTAAACTGTGGAACTCTGTATAGTTAACCTGATGTTAACGGTGTGTATTAATGATTCAGAGTGTGGTCAGGATTAGAAGGGATGTTTTTGGCTAATCTCACCATAATGCTGCATGTTGTGCATTTAGGATATTATGATTTAGAACTAAGTAGCTAACTAACAATTATTCTTCAAAGTGACTTTATCTTCCCAGTCAGTGTGCATTATTAATAAAATAGTCACTGTAGATGGTGGTATTTTAGAAAATGAAAAAGAGACAGACAGACTGGTAGATAGATAGATAGATAGATAGATAGATAGATAGATAGATAGATAGATAGATAGATAGATAGATAGATAGATAGATATGAGATCTCCATATGAAAGAGACTTTTTTCTGAATAGTTATATAAAACAAATGAAATGACAACTTATTGTTCTACACATCGAGTCATTTTTATTGTTTGCAAGTTTAGCCCAAAAACTGTAAGCTGCTATTTAACATAGTTAAACTGTGAACACTAATAGTGTTAATAATACTCCCTACAGGTTGGGATTTATTAGGTAAGTGAGTATTTTTGTTGCTGAACATTTTCACCTACTGAATGCTTTCTCATTATTATACTTTTTTTTTCTGTGCTTTAACAGGTGAAAGGGAGAAAGTTCAGACTGTGTGTGTTGGGAAGGAGTTTCGACTGCCGGTGGACTCCACATCCAGAATTGTGACGTTTTCACCGGACTCTGAGGGGCCGAGACAAGTCCTGCTTGAAAAAACCACAGTGAGTGGAAAGTGTGTCACTGCTTTTCCCCTGTGCTTAAGATACAAACAGGTTATAGTACAGCCAAAAAGTAGAGTGCTTTTTCCCCATATCAGAGCTGTGCTCTACTCATACTTGTTGCTATATTCTGCCGGTCTGTCTTGCATGGTTAACAATCCTCTGCAGTTCTTGACCTTATTACAGAGATTTTGTCATTTCTAAACAAACGGAGGGACTCCATTCCCACACAGTAAAGCCAGTTAACAAATGAGGTGTAACAAACTCTTCAATTTATCCAACAGTCAAAGTTAATATAGTCCATTATTTATATTAATTATTTAAATATTAAATATTCAGATGACGTACATCTTGTTTATTTACTTTTGCTTCTGGGAGATGTAGAGGAGCAGAGTGGACTGTTTTTTTTTTCTCTCTCTCTTTATCTTCAGGTGAAGGATCCACGTTTTGAGTGGACCAGAGATAAGACGTTAGTCCTGAAAGAAGTGACTCTCAGAGATCAGGGACTTTATGCCAATAAACTGTCTGTTGGCTTCACCTACGAGACCGTTCATCTGATTGTTTCAGGTGTGACAACTTTTAGCCCCGGGCTAAATTAATCCATATATATTTCATCTGGCAGAAAACTCATTAATTATCAGTCACTAGTTCTTTGGATTGATATATTAAAATGTTGGATTGATTTGGTGTGATATACGTATCAGATCTACTTGTATTCCTATATTTTAGTCAAATAGATGCTTTTTCTGCGACATTGAGCTACAGTTCTCAAGTTAAGCTGACTTGCTTTCTACCTTACATCTTCAGAATGCATTAAGCCGTACCGCAGGAACTATGGAGAGACCTTTGAGCACGGCATCCCTGAAAATGGCTCTGTGTTGGAGTTCTCCCGTCGGGGTGCGCCGCCTGAGGCCAAGCCCATCGTGTTGTGGAACCGCACAAACCCTGAAACGTCGAACGCGGGACGGGGACGACTGCTGCGTGGGGGCAAAGTCTGGGCGGCAGAGAGAGTGACGCAAGCAGATCAAGGCAACTACACCATAAAAGACGATGACGGGAACGTGCTGTCTCGCAGCACCCTCTCCGTTCGCGGTGAGAGGAAACAAAACGTGACTTGTGTTTGTTGTATTTTTTTTTTTTTTTTGTGTGTGGTAATAATCATGTTTTGTCTTTCTTCTTCCATCCTAACCCTAATATTCCCCCGTCTATTCATTTGTCATCCATCCTTCTTTTACTCTGCATACTTTTCAGGGTACTCCTTCAACATTACACGTTTCACCAAGGAGTCTCTAAACCTACCCTTGTTTCTCCCTGTCCATCATGCCCATCTCATTTTTACCCCAAGTCGAATTCCAGATGAAGCCTCACTGGGTCCCTTTGACCCCAAACCTCCTCGCGGCCCCGTTCAGCTGCTTCGTGAGGGCCAGATAATAGACCACGACCTGCGCTACAGAGGTATCATCTCTCTCATCCGGAACGGATCAGTACACGATGTCGTTATCACGAGACTTACGCCAAGGGACGACGGGCTGTATGAAATCAGAGATGGGGATGGAAACATTGTGTCCTCCACCTACTTGCATATCATTGGTGAGTTGTGTTGTGTGTTTCCCCAATTTAGATATTTGAGCTTAAGCTTTTCTCCAAATTTTCCTACTTCTGTGATGCTTCCAGAAAAAAGGGCCACTTGGCGAGCACTCTTCAAGTCCATCAGTGTCTCTTCTGGCATGTTTGTGTCTCTGGCTGGTTTCATCTTGTTCATGAAACGCTACCCGAACTGCAGCGTCTCACAGATCATTACTGGCATCAGGACAAACCGCACGCCTCCAGCTAATCCGCCAAGAGTTAACATCCAGGTAGGAGATTCACTAAAATCTGCACGTCATCACTGTGACCGCACTGGCACACCATCCCCACATCATTATGGGACATACATGTTCTCGATTTATGGTGTAAGGATATATTTAGTGATGTACTTTTCAAACAGCGTATGGTTTATTTAGCTTTTCAGATAATCTCAAATGTTGGTACTACTTATGTTGTCATGCCGACATTTTGCGCTGATCCTTGACATTCTCTGCATTAGATGCCTCACCAACCTATTTCAGCATTTAGCTTGGGGAATTGTTTACTGCTTTGAACCTCTCCACAGCATTATCAACTGGATTTTATTTACAGGTATCAGAGTAAAGCGGGTTGAATCCAAACGCATGCCACACATTTCCAATTTCTATCCATTATTTTTTTCCTTCCGTTTTTCCTTCCTTCCATCTTTATTTTCTTTCTTTCCTTCATTTGCTCTCTCACTCACTTCTCAAGTATGTACTACTTGATTATCAGTGAGACTTAAATATCATATTAATCCTAGAGAGAATCAAAAATGCTGTTTTCAAATTTGCTCTTGCGATAAAGCTGTAAAACACCCAACACAGCTAATTCAACAGTGAAATGAACTTAATTGCTACAAAGTGAAATTAGATCTAAACTAAAACTGATGCACAAAAGAGAAGAGAAGCAGTTCTTTTGTCTGGTCAATTTAAATGTCACGAGTTCATGCTTGTCTGTGTTTCTTATTGCAGGAGTACAGTCAGCCCCTCCCACAGCCCCCATCCTATTATAGTCACTGCGAACAGCCTCCAACGCCAAGAAAATGGACCCCTATGGCCAGTCCGGTTCATGCTGTAAGGCAGATTATATTATTGAAACAATTTAATCTGAATGAATATTCAGATTAAACATTTAATCTTGAACATCAAATGTTTGTACTTACAGGGTTATACTCCTGTTGGGTCAGGGAGTCCGAGAGCAGACAACCAGGAGGTACAAAGACAAACGCCTGGAAGCTCACCCCTTCGTAATTTGACCACTGAGGTAAAGATGAGCTTTAGTTGTGTCTTCTACATGATATTATTTTTTTAAAATGCGTCTTCATCCTTCCCTAGTTGGATAAATCCAACGAGGAAGACGAGAAGATTTCCTTCTCTATGCCTGGGGGCTCAGACTGCCTCCACTCATCTGAGGACTGCGTCCAGTTCCAGATCAAGAAAGACAGAGACGAGCAAAGAAGGAGCAGATCAAAAGACTTCTTTTCCACGCTGCCGCTGGACGAGGACAGCTCAGAATCCTGCAGTGTTTACACCTCGAAGAAATTGGACTTTTTATAAAACGGGGACGAAGACCAGGAGTTAACGATGCAAAGTACAGATGGAATTCCATTCATTGATTCTAAGAAGACATCATAGCACTATTTGCACAGTTTTAAATCTTTGGTTTGTACTGATTTCTGAACCATGAGGGAAGTGTTGAGTTTTCTGTCTCACTTTGCACTGGTGAATGGTGCTAAAATATCCTACTGTTATCTACCTCTAAACCCTCAGGACAGATATGATCTGCACTGTATTTACTGAGTGTTTGTGTTCTGTCATCTCCAGGGCTATAATATCAAAAGTGTGACTCTAAAGTTGCAATAGAGAATTCAGATCACTTCACATCAACATAGTATGAACTGAAGTGCTTGCCCATCATGCTGACTCTTTCCCTATTGTTGCTACGGTAATCGTCATTATAGATATCCTGTGTGTCCTGCAGTTTATGTATGTTTGCAGGTGTAGTGGTTTTACCTTTGAGAAAACTGTAGTATAGACACATGGCATGAATCTCCAAATATTGTAACAGCAAAGCAAGCAGTTAATCTTTGAACCTTGTATACTAGAAAAATAACTAAGTCTTTAAGTAATCCTTTATCTAATAACAAAGTCTTATCTCTAAAATAAAATGTATCTTTAACAAACATATCTAAAAGTTATTTTTGTGCATGTGTATTTCAATAAATTCTTTAATGGAAAGGTAAATGTATTGTTATAATTTATTTTACTAGGAATCTTTGATGGAAAGTTTTATATTTTTGGTGTTTATTTCTGCACATTATGATGACTATGGTCGACAATTAATGAAAACACAAAGTTTTGTGGCCTACACAATCCTGGGAAGCACTTTTGACTTATCTGTTAAACCACTCCTTAAACCATAATGTCCAGAAGCAGCAGAAGCATTTGAGGGCCAAATGAAAAAAGCCCTGAACTGTTGCTCAGTCTTTTGAAGTTTGAAGCCCAGACTGAAGTAAATTGTGTGCTTAATTTTTACAATTAAGAAAAAAATGAAGATGCAGACACCCATATTACTTTTGTTCCAAATTTTCATGTCCAACTTTATTCCCACTGCACATAGCCTGATAATGTACTGTTTACACATCTGTGTGAAGCAATCCTTTTTATTGCCCAGTTTTCTGAGAAACTGAGTTTGTGGTTTTCTATAATCATCAAGGCTAGCTAAAATATTTATGCTAAATATATCAGTCTGTATGCTATGAATCTAATGCAGTAAAATATTTCACACTTTAACTGAGTTAAATAAATTCCGTTTATATTCTGGTTTATGTTGATTCACCCTTAAAGTGTCGCAACAATTACATTTATCTGACAGTAGAGGGCAGTGCAGAAGCAGAGGTTTGAGTTTTGACGTATGAGGAAAACAGCGTAGAAGACTTGATAGTTCCTTTTATAGCGGCAATGAAAGGACAGCGTGCCACTTACGATTTTAGCAAAACATAAGTTAGGCATACATTACCGAATTAAACCTATCAGGTTCGCAGCAAGCATATTTCACTATTAGGAGGAGAGTATCAGTGCTGTGTTGAGAAGATGTCTCTGGTTTGTGCAAGTAAGTCAAACCCTATCAGTTCGTGAGACGGATTCAGTATGTTAGCTTATGCTAGTAGCTAATGTGGCTAACGTTAGCCGCCATGCAGACCGCCTTCTACCTCGGAGAGTTTTCTCAGACGCGTTTTATGCCTTATTATTGCTGTAGTTTGAGTCATAATAAGTAAATACACTTTTCCCCCAGTCTGCAACGAGGTACCGGAGCACCCGTGCATCTCTCCGGTGTCCAATCATGTGTTCGAGCGAAGGCTAATTGAGAAGTACATCGCTGAGAATGGGACGGACCCGATGAACGGACAGCCGCTGTCCGAGGAGCAGCTGGTGGACATCAAAGGTAAAAGCTTCTGTTTACAAATCCAAATTAAACAAATCCTTCATAACTAATGATGATTGAATGACATTAAATGTCTAAAATTGTTTGTAATCAAATATGTAAAGTGAAAACTCTGTGATTTTTTTTTTTTTTTTGTGCGTTTGTTTCAGTGACCCATCCAATCAGACCAAAGGCTCCATCAGCTACAAGCATCCCTGCCATTCTCAAGTCACTTCAAGATGAGTGGGTGAGTGCTGCAGTCAGAAAATCTACTTATACTTACTTATGTTTCAGATACTGCTTTTCATCACCAATACTTATTTTGCATCTGTAAAGTTTTAAATGGAACAGGAAAGACGAGTAATTTAATACATAACCTTTGTCAACAGTACATGTTACTTGAGTTATTTCTGAAAGTCATGTTGGCAGTTCCTGTTAATGAGCAGCTTATACTAACTAGTATTTTCAGAACCAAAGTAAAAACTGACTCAGTCTCCTGCCTTGTGTTGTGTTGTAGGATGCTGTGATGCTGCATAGCTTCACTCTGCGGCAGCAGCTGCAGACGACTCGTCAGGAACTCTCGCACGCCCTGTATCAGCATGACGCAGCCTGCAGAGTCATCGCTCGACTCAACAAGGAGGTCACTGCTGCAAGAGAAGGTCTGCTTACAGATGGCAGCAGGGATTTTTGTTTTAAACCAGCTTTGTATTTTGGGACAATATGCGTTTGATAAATGTGATAAACTTCTTGTTTTGTGTTATGAAGGTTCTCTTAGAAACTTTTTCTTTTTTTTAATTTACAGCTCTTGCTACGCTTAAACCACAAGCTGGACTGGTGGCTCCTCAGTCTGTGCCGGCCTCCCAGCCAGCTGCTGCTGTGAGTAGCTTGGAGTTTACTAGTAAAGGGTCTTAATAATAGCCCCTCATCTTCATGATTTTTATTTTTATTTTTATTTTTTTTTACAATGAGGTTGAATTATTCCTTTTATTTTTAGGGTGGTGGTGGAGAACCAATGGAGATCAGCGAACAGGTGGGAATGACCCCAGAGATCATCCAGAAGGTAAGATCTTTCTCACTTCAATTCAGAGTTCATTACGGTTTTTAATTTTTCTTATGTGTTTTAATCGTGTTTTCATTCGCAGCTTCAAGACAAAGCTACTATTCTCACCACAGAGAGAAAGAAGGTATTTTTGCTTCTTCTTATGTAGCATTTTCTTCTCCAGTGGAGGTGCAGTCAGTGCTCCCATGTTGTGTAAGCTCTGTACTTTATCTTTCTGTTTCCTTCTATTTCACTAGAGAGGAAAAACTGTCCCAGAAGAGCTGGTCAGAGCTGAAGACCTCAGCAAGTACCGCCAAGTGGCCTCGCATGCTGTAAGTGTGGATTTGGTCTGGTCATGAAGCTCGGTGTCCTCTCTGGATTATTTAGTGTCTTTGATAGCCACAATCTCCTTCTGGTTTTACTTCAGGGCCTTCACAGCGCCAGCGTTCCTGGTATCCTGTCCCTGGATGTGTGTCCCTCGGACACCAACAAAGTGCTCACTGGTACGCTGAAAGCATCTGTCGTCGTTTTGCTTGCTTTATTATTTAACCAGAAATTTCATTGCACATTTTTAATTCCCCAAAGACTCTGATGTAAACCTTGTTGTTTTGTTTCCAGGTGGCGCTGATAAGAACGTGGTCGTGTTCGACAAGAACGAAGAGCAGATTGTGGCGACTCTGAAAGGCCATGCCAAAAAGGTCACCTCGGTCATTTACCATCCATCCCAGGTGACTTTCTTCTTTATGAGTTTGACTTTTATTTAAAAGAATAGTTGGATATTTAGAGATGCCTGATGTGAATTTCATTCGAACCTGTTTTCCTCTCCAGTCTGTGGTCTTCTCCGCCTCTCCTGACGCCACCATCCGTGTGTGGTCCGTTACCGGCGGCAACTGCATTCAGGTGGTGCGAGCCCACGAAGCCGGAGTCACTGGGCTGTCTCTGCACGCTACAGGAGACTACCTGCTCAGCTCCTCTGAGGATCAGGTGGGTTTTGCTGCATGAACACACCTCCAAGTTGTACTGCTTCGCTATATTGACCTGGTTGTGTTTTTACGTTTCAGTACTGGGCCTTTTCTGACATCCAAACTGGTCGAGTCCTCACCAAAGTTACTGATGAGAGTGCTGGCTGTGGTAAGTGTCTCTGTGGATGGTTTTATGTGTGAAGTCTCCAGGTGAGCACTGATTGTTCTGCTCTTGGTTCCACAGCTCTCACCTGTGCCCAGTTCCACCCTGATGGTCTCATTTTTGGCACCGGTACGGCCGACTCCCAGATCAAGATTTGGGATTTGAAGGAGCGCACCAACGTGGCCAACTTCCCCGGCCACTCCGGACCCGTGACCTCCATCGCATTCTCTGAGAACGGATACTATCTGGCCACAGGTTCCACTTTGCACTTGATTGATCTTATTCTTTTTTTTTTGTTTGTTTGTTTTGACTCTACATTAGAGCTGAAAAGTTTCAGGCACATTTCTAGTTATTAGGAAACATACTCAACACAACACAATGCCCTAGATGCAGCATCTTAGTCTTATAGCTTAGTAGCTATTTAGCTAAATAGCTGTTATGCAACTGTCATGTAGACATACAACTGTCTACATGTCTTCAATGTCATGCAGACAATTGAAGGCTGCATGACATTTGATATTTAGTTTAAAAAGATTAAATGTAAAGATCAAAATATAATAAACAATCTAGCTGTAAATGTATCTGCTTTTGATAAATCTTATTTAAAGTAACATAACTATGCCATGTCCACCCTATCAAGTATTTTGCTAAAATCTTGCCAAGTGTGTACTTTGTGACTCATTTTTATGAAAAGATTACCTATATCTGTTTTAGGGGGAAAAAAAACACAAGTTACACAGTGAATGTTTACTCCCATACATTGTAACAAAGTACCTATATATCTTTGAATACTCTTGAGTTTTTCCACATTTTATTTGAAAAAGATTTCCCTTATTTTTCTTTCCAGGTGCCCAGGATAGCTCTGTGAAACTGTGGGATCTGAGGAAACTGAAGAACTTTAAGACTATATCTCTGGACAACAACTACGAGGTAAAAATGGCTAATATTTCTCTTTTCTTAAACATGTCAGTGTTGAGAAATTGCTGTGTTTGAAGAGAAGTATTTCTAGACTTTGTCTGGAGAATTATTCCTTTCTCACCCACAAAGTATGATATTTTGGTTGCTTGCAAAAAGCACTCATCCTTCATAATTGTGACTTGGAAGAAAAATTGTGTGGGTTTTCTAAATTAGAAAGGAAGTCTTTAAGTTGGGTGTTACCAGTTTTTACTAGTAACCTTGAAACTAACCTAATTACAAATATTTGTAATAAGTTGGAGCTGACTATGTTTTAGTCCCACTAAAATACAGCTGCTTTGTGAAAAGATTAGCAAGGCTCTTGGTTTGCAACAAGTCACTAACGCTGTATAAATCAATTCCACACATGGCGGTGGGGATGATGCAGAGAAAGGGAGGCTGGTACAAGATGAGAACCTGTTAGAGGCTGTAAAAGGCTTGAAACTGGAGCAGAGGTTCTCTTGGCACCCTGAACACACAGTCAGTGCTGCAGTGGAAACCCTTTCCAATGTAATGTGACCAAATGAGGAGAAACTCAAGCGGTGCGAGTACTTTTACAAGACGCCGTCACAGAAAGAGAGATGGTTTAAACCTGATTCTAAGCAAGTCGAGAGAGCAGAACATATTAAAAACAAAAGGAGCCGTAATTAAACATTAAACATTATCTGTGTTTTTCTCATGATTGATGCATT